GGTAATTGCAATCCTCATAGCCATCGACTACGTGGTGGAAAGTAGGTGGAGGGGAAGAAGTTTACGTATCTGCAGTGACAACCAAGCTGCACCTAAGCCATTGGCCAGCCCTTTACCTAAGTACATCCGAACTAGTTCCGCAATGCAAGTCTAGACTGAATTATATTAATGACTAGGAGCCATTGAGTGGATGCAGGCTGGAATAATTCATGTTGCCTTCAATTCCAGAAGGTAGTTCTAGTTTTTTTTTCTCTCACTGAGCTGACGAGACTTCAGACAACTTGTTGGATTACTAACTGGTCACTTCACTGTGATAGAGGTAAATGACAACTCCATTTACCCATTCTAACTTGCAGAGGATGAGGCGGTGGAACACTTTTTGTGCTTCTTGCCGACTTGGTTGTTTGTCATAGATTTTTCTAAATTCGGTATTTTCTCTATTGTCAGTTTCTGAATTAAAATTATGGCGTAAATAGATTTACGGCTTTGTTGTTTCAAGTTTTGTGTTTTAAAAATGTGAATGTTAGATCTAATCTTCACATTTTTTGACGAACTTTGGGAATATGTCAGAAATCTAGCTGCAGGGGGTCCAACGAATCCACGAGATGTGACTCAAGATCGTCACGGAGCCCTACTGCCGCAGCTGTTCGGAAGACGAGATGGCATCGTCTCAGCACTTCCTCCTCAGCTGCCCGGGATTCGCTAGATTAAGTTTTAAGCACCACGGTGAACATTCCATCAACACACCCGAGGGGCTCTCCGGAGCGGACATCAGATGACATCTGTGGACCTTTGTTGTGAGCACCCAGCGCTTCTCTTAGTTTTAACACAGTGAGGATTTATACTTGTACTTGTAGATATATCACCAGAAAATACTGAAAAATCGCTTCAGATAATATGGTCTTTAGAATAAATTTGTGCAAGTTTTATGTACAGTATGTAATAAATAAATAAACTTTTTAAAATTTCATAAATTGCACTTTATTTACATAAAATAAACAAGAACTCAAACATTTTTAACCGACTTCAAAAAAAGCATAACTTTGCAGAATATGAACCGAAAAGTCTTTCATAATAATTATGACCGCGCAAAAAATTGTTTAAGTCTTAAAAGACGGGACTTGTTCAGGAGCATTTCACGATTAGTTGGGACCAGTTCGGGGCTAGGTACGGGACAGTACGGGACTACTTCTTACGAAAATTTTGATGACTTTTTTAAAACTCCACCATGAAATAATTATTATTCTGGGTCTCTGATTTTAATAATTATTTTTTCCTTTTATCGGAAAGATGGTACCTCAAGGGTCATCCCGTAATTTGGTTTAGGTCTGATCATTGGTTCATGAAGAAATTAACGGTGTCCCTAAATTTGTATATAAGAATTGAAGCCGGTTGTGTTTTTTGCTTAAAAAATACTTGTTTAATAAAAAGTTCGATAAACACAAGATGCGCTCACCTTTCAAAGGTAATAAAATATTTTAAAAAAGAATTTAAACAAAAATAAATTCATTAATTCGATGAAACTTATACACTTTTATGTTCATTTTCCTCGATTTATGGTTTCTGGTTTTGGATAGAGTTGGTGCCTAATTTTTTTAACCAACTTTACAAAAAGGAGAAGGTTATCAATTCGTCGGAATATATATATATATTTTTTTTCTTATGTATGTTACCGCATAACTATCGAACACATCAACCGAAACTTGTTTTCGTTGCTAAAACTGGTTTTCGACGTAAAATTTGTGTTTTTTCCACGTAAAATTTGTTGAACGGAAACCAGTTTTCGCTGAAAACTACTTGAAAACTCACGTTCCACTTGTTCCAATCGATGTCTTCACTAGTTTTTTTTTTTGATTATTTATTGAAATAGAAGTCATATTTTATCATCTTTAATACGCCAGTTCGGATTTATTGTTAATTGGCTGGCCAAATTAAAATATGAACAAAAGAAAATGTTGTCAATGAAAAGAAAATAAAAGAAAAGTATTGTAGCTTTTGTTTTTTGTTTTTTTTTTTTGTAGAAAACTGGTTATACAAAATGTCTACGAAAACACTAACAGCCGGTGTGAACAGCCTTCAACCCGCAATCCTGAAATTCGTTTTCACAGTGTTTTCGTTGTCGGTCAGAACATGGTAACGGGTGATTTTTTTGAGGTTAGGATTTTCATGCATTAGTATTTGACAGATCACGTGGGATTTCAGACATGGTGTCAAAGAGAAAGATGCTCAGTATGCTTTGACATTTC